AATATATATATATATATAATAATTATTAAAAAATATATATATATATATATATATATATATACACACACACACATAAAATAATGTATATTTCGCGATTACTTGTTAAATATTATATATTTGAGGATAGTTGGGGCACTATCTTTTTAATCGATACAGCTAAAAATGAGAATTACATTATAGACTTAATAAGATTACACATTTGTGTCATACCGAAAATAAAGATTCTATGTTATATCATAAAGACATTGAAAACAAAAAATTTCTTAACAGACGAGCTTGTGCAACATTCCGATATAATTTGGAATACATGCTATTTCGTCGTCGAACATCGAATACTGCGCCTTTTAGATAAAAACAAATTAAAATGAAGAAAAAAAACTATTGCATTTCTCGCGCACACTGATGTTCCTATGAAAAAAAAATTTTCTGATCGTTCATTCAAAATAATAATGAAAGTTTTCTTTGTTTCTCTATCTTTTCTTATTTTTGTTTTCAACTCTTTCAAAACGATTATTCTCAATATGCGAAAGTGCTCGCGAAATATTCTATTCACTTGTGAACATATTTCGATACTATTGCACATATGTTCTTCTATGTATGTGTGAAATACGACGAAACGTACGGATAAAGCGTTATAGTTGCGGTTAAAATATGAGATACGAGAAACGGGAGACTTGACTGTGATAGTAGGATCAAGGATTGCATTTTGTTAAAACACGACCGCGTTTAGCAGAATCTTCGTGTTTGTCCCATTGAAAAAAAAAAAGAAAAAAAAAAAGAAAAAAAAGAATTAATAAATATATAAATAAGAGACTGGTTTATTATGATCGGACCAAAAATGGCATAAACGCGGTCGTCATTCACGCGAAATCGCGTGAAATCTAAAGAGAAGTGCTGTTACATTATTTAGCTAATATTTATAAAAACAAAAAGAAAAAAAATGTACGTATGTCGAAGTGAAATTCACTTGAACCATTATTTTTCAATATGATTATCATTTATTGCAATTAAATAATTCTGTATTTATGATAAACGATGTTAATTTTTAGTAATTTTAATACAACACCTTTGCTATTATACACTTTTTTATTGTCGTTACACGAGATGTGTACTCAAAATTTAAAAAAAGTAAAAAAGAAAAAAAAAATTGAAAAGATATAAATAATATGGGGGATATATTTATCTGGTGGCTATTTAGTAAACTATAATTTATTTCATAAATTTTACGAGTTTTTAATTAGAATTATATTTTGAATCCTTTTGTAAATTTTATTTTTATTATATTGTGATTTGATTTGCTCGAATTTATAGTTCCGAGCTATACATATATGCCTTTTAGCGCGTGAATTATTCGAAGGGAATATACTTGTGCCTGGCGTGTGCCATAATGGAAGAAAATCGATTGCATTTTAAAATAGAAAGAAATACAAGAGCATACGTGTATATGAAAGCAAAATATTGGAACTTGTTCATTCACATTCAATTCACATCGAATCTTATTTCGTCTTTTTCAAATAGATTGAATGTGTTCAAAAAATTGAACAATGCTATAAAATAGTGAAAACTGGACAACATATTCGCCATATAAAAAGGAAAAAAACAAAATTATTTAAATTATTGAAATTTGTGCCAAATTTTGGAATCATTGTAATAAAAAATTATGTCTGTTGTTCTAATATTTTTAAGATTATGAAAATAATTTGCAAAAATATTATAAACGGAGAAAATATCTTTCATAATGATTAATTGGCGATAATTATCCAGTTGATCTAAGTTCGGATCTATGTTTCGCAAAATTTTAAAAGAAAACGAGTCCGTAAAGGGATAACTTTCCCTTTCCGTACTTGTACAAATATCGTTCGCCTTAATTGTAACGTTTTTGTAGACATTTTTAGACGGATGCTCAACGTACAATCCATTATTCCTAGAATATGTATCCATATATAGCAGCTCTTGATTTGTACTTGTTGAACGCGTGCGTACAGTCATGACAATTTCGATAGAATTTGCTGTACTTTTGAATAGCTGTACTTTTTGGAATCTGATATCATTAAATTTCATCGAATTTTTAGAATCTATATTGAGTATTTGATAATGATTTAAATATAATATAATATCAATTTTATCAATGATATATCAATTAATATATTAATTGTTTCATTTTTCCTTTTTGTACATTTTAGACTAATAAATGAAATAACAATTAATTGGAATAATAAATGAGATAAAATATTTTTTTAATTTCTCTTTTTTTTTTTTACTTTTGTTAGTTTATCTTATATAAATCTTATACAGAAATTTTATTTGAATTTATTTTATTATTATTTTTGATTTATTTGTAAATATAAATATATCTAACTAGATAATTTATTACATATTATTCATTAATAAAAATTCACTATTCATTAAAAGAACAGCAATGTTTTACGAAAAAATTTTAAATTTTAATTAAATAATATATTAAATTTCAATACATTTATTATTTTATTATTTATATGCAAATCAATATTTTATTTCACATCTTGGATCAAAAAATAAACGAATACGTTCATCGAATATATTTAGATAACCACAGTGTTCTACTTAATCATGTTAATCAGATTTTGAAAATGTACAGCTTTGTTATCGAATTGTGTCCTCTGTGTAAATGAGAAGAAAGAAAAATTTGTTACACTTAAAATGAACATCTTTAAAATGCATTTAAAACCATAAGTTGGTTCCTGATGAAAAAAAATTTAGCGTGCGATAAATGTAAGGAAAAAAGAAAGAATAAAAGTTAAGAATGAAAGGAAAGAAAATAAACGAAAAATAGTAAAATTGAAAAATCACAGACAGACCAATAATTTACAACGTAATTTGTGTAGTCCGCTAAAACGGAGCGCAAATAAATTTATGGCAAATTGAAAAACTCATTTTTTTTTTCGTTTTTTCATTCCCTTAATCTCGATTTAATGATATCAATTATGTGAAGAAAACCGCAACATCCACTTACGCTTATGTAGCGAAACGAATCCAGCAAGCTAATTAGTTTAGGCTAAAACGATAAGATAATTAATACCTTACTATTTCCTCTGTATCAATATTTATTTATAAAGTAAAGATTTATAGCGAATATTTTATTTTTTTCTTATTTTTATATGAAAATTATTATGTGAATATTTGTTGTCTGGAAATCTATCAATAAATTTTGTATCAAATCCTATAGATAGTATCTTAATAGTTCATTATATGAAGAAGAGTTATATAATAACATAACATTTAAAAATTAACAATTATACATATATATTGAAAATATAAGAATTTATATATAAAATATGTAATTATAACTTTTATAAAATTATTTTTTATTTTATTATGATGTTCAATTAAAATTGTATATCATAATATAACATAGAATTATAATGTTATAGTATCTGTTTTTAATTTAGCATTATTTAAGAAATGTATTTCAACATTAATTTTTGATAAACTTTACTACAAGAGAATTGTTAATCGATAGCGTATGCCAAAAATTGAAAGCTGATGCACTTGCTATTTGCACATGCTGTAGTGGGGATTGCGGTTGGTTTGAAGGAAGCTGACTTGTATAAAAAGACAGCCACACACTGTAAGTCTCAGTATCGTGCAAGATTGTTAATCGTAATTTGAAATCTGTCGCTTCTGATATAAAAATAACGACTTTAATTTTTTGAAGTTGTAAGTTTGATACATAAATTACATTTTTTCCTATATTCTATATCTATATCCTATATTCTATATCAATTGTTGTTGTTCTATATCAACAATTATTCTTTATTTTGTTTATTGTTTTATTCATTTCATTTTAATAGACTTAAAAACACATACACATATCACTAAGAAAAAAATTGTTTTCTAAGTATGATATTATTTAAATATTGTTAAAAATTAAGATAAATATATTAAGTGATAAGAATATTAAATAATAAAAATATTGAGAAATAAAATAATTACGTTAAAAAACAAATATGTAAAAAAATAAAAATAAAATCAAAAATTAAATTTTTAATTTCTATAAAATAAAAAAAAAGAAAAAACAAAATTTCTTTTTAAAAAAAGCTTTAAACTCTCACAGTTTTCAAAAATAAATATAAAAAAAATATAAAAAATATTATATTAAAATAATATAAATTTTAAATTTATTCTAATTATCTAAAAATATATATATATAATGATAATTTTATATCAATGAGATATTGTAA